CCCTACACCCATCTACACAATCCCATCTTTCAAGGTCAGTTTAGCCATTAGTAATCCTGGTCTGCTCTGGCCTCCCCGAGTGCCCAGCCCTGTGTGAGGTGCTTTGGAGGAAACGGGTAAAGGTGGTCTGTGACCTTTGACGGGAGCAGCTCACAGCGATGGTCCATGTAATAGTCCCAGATCTCTACACCCTGTTGCAGTTGGTGTTTCTCAGGATCTCTGAGTGTGTCTTTCTTTCCATGGTTTGCTCAGCCCGGCTCTGTGTCCTCCTACTTCTTCCCTTTTCATCCCCCTCTTGTCCTTCCACTGTGTCTTTTACTCATGTCTCTATCTCTGTCTTGGACTCTCTTTGTCTCTGTCTCTCCCTGTTTCATTCCCTCGGGATCAGTTTTCTCTGTCTCTCTGGCTGTCTCTCTCCCTCAGTCTTTGTCTCTGCATCTCTGTTAGTCAGAAGTGTCCCTCTTCCTCCTCTCTGTCTCTCAGTCTCTACATACTGATGTGACCTTCCCTTGACCCTACCTGCAATGGTGTAGACAGCTGTCACCACCAGCAGGGTCACTGTGGAGACGTAAAGGTTCCAGCCCAAGGCCATCTGGATGAAGAGGGCTCCAGAGAAGATGTCAGTCTGCAAAGAACCAGGACCCATAACTCCAGGCCACCTGAGACCTCTGAGTGGCCACTGCGGGTATGTCACCTCCCTGCTCAGCAACATCAGGTGTCCTCAGCCTTCATCACATGATGAAGATGAGCCTACAGTGGCACACGAAGGAGAATGGGCTTGATCTTGCAGACACTGAGGAGCGTAGAGGCTTTAAAGCAGATGAATATTGTCTATCTGCACAGCTTTGAAACTGAGAACAATTTAATCGGATAGAACTGATAGGCTGGCCTACGGGCTGTGAAGGAGTGGTGAGGACTGAATTGGAACATTGAATATGTTAGGCAGACAAGGAGGTGGGGTTGGAGAGGAAGAGACCATTTGGGAGGAGTAAGAACCCAGAGGGTCATTGACTGCTCCCTGACAGAGCGCAGGTCACTTCAATGCCAGATGACCCCATAGCTGACCCAATGGGGCGGGAGCCTAGTGCAGAGAACCATGGGTTCTGGGTCATCTCTGTGGGTTTATTGGAGGACTTGCCTTGACTGCTTAGGGATATTTTCAAGCATTGATGGAGCAAGAGGCCTGAACATTTTTTTAGCCCTACACCTGGCAACTGAATGACTTGGTTCCCTTCAGTATGCACTTGACGGTCCCGTTGCATGAGTATTTCATGAACCTATTACAGGCTCTGCAACATGTCAGAGTAGAAAGAGACCTGGACTGGGCCATGGGACCTGAACTTTAGCTCCAGTCCCACAGCCCTCTGCGTAGACTTGGACAAGTCATTTAACCTGTCTAGGTTTGTTTTCTGAGTTTAGGTCAGTAAAGGAAGAAAAAGGGTCTTTCTAACTAACATTCTAGGCAAGTAAAGCACCATTGCTGAATAACTCATCAGTTAATGGAAGGTAAAGGGACGAATGGATAAATGAACTCTGGATTGTATGTTCTTTAAATGTAGGGACTGTCATTCGCTCAATAAACATTTGTCATTCATCTCTGATTACCTGATTACTGAGGGGGACTGTGTGTTAGAGGTACATGGATCCATTCTTCTTTTCTGCTCTTTCCTTATGGCTGTCCTCCCGCCTTCCCTCTCTTCTTTCTTTCCATCCTTCCTCTTAGCTTCTAGCCCACAGAAGTGCATTCAGCAGCTCCCAAATCAGCACTTTCAAAGACAAAATGGCCGCACTGGAGTGGTACCCACCGAAATCTTGGTGAAGATGTAGAGGATGAGCGACAGCACAGACAGGTACACCTGGATCCTCTGGCCCCCAAATCGCTTCTTCAGGTACTGTGGCATTGTGACCACACCAGCTGCAATGTACACAGGGACGAACACCCAGCCAAGGGCCAGGAGCAGCCAGGTGGCCTGGAGAGTGAGGAGAAGAAGGTGTCCAGGTCATGGATGCTGACGGAGGGCGGCCTCCAGCCTAGAGGCAGCACCGTGCTGTGGGATAGCCCTGAGCAGGGAGGTAAGGAATTTGGAACCTGATCCCAATCCTCAGATGAGGCCCTTTGCTTATTCCAGGCCCTGGTTTCCTCATCTGTAAAAGGGGTACTCAATTCACCATGCAGCCTCCATAGCACCTCCAAGGTTCCTACCAGCACTGAGGCCAGGGGGAGTGGGCTTAGCCCCTCATTATCCCGGAGTAGCCAGTCCACTCCCTTACGTTCCACTCGAAGCCACCCACGGCGAGGCCTCCAGCTGCCCCTGTCCCAGCCAAGCCGATGAACAAGCCACTGCCCACATTGCTGGACATCAGAGATGCTCCGATCTGAAAGGCACAAGTGGAGTCAAGAGTCAGGGATCAGGATTAATCCGAGTCGGTCTGAAGTCAGGACTATCAGCAGTGAGGAGAGGCTGACAGTTACTGGGTATCTACTGTACGCCAGCTACTGGCTAGGGTACCTAACTGTATGTCAGCTACATTTACTGGGTATCTGACCGTATGCCAGCTACTGTGCTAGGGACTTTGTATGCACTGATAATTTAATCTCTACATGTATCTGGAGAGAGGGGTATGGATCCACCCAATTTACAGAAGACGGAACTGAAGTTAGGAAAAATGAAACCACTGGCTCCAGTTAGTGGCAGAGTGGGAGAAAGGGAAACCATGGGACACAGAGGAGGGTAAAACTCACCCGGGGCCATCGATCTAAGGGCCTTCAGAGGGAAGGAAGCCAATGGGGCAGGAGAGACGGGGAAGGCCTCCATCACCTCAGTTCCTGCAGGTCCAGGTCAACGCAAGGTGGAGGGAGGAGCCGAGGGGCTGGGTGCAGGCCAGGCCAGCCTCTGAGGTTTTTCTCCAGGAGAGCAGCTGACTCCAAAGCAGGAGAAGGCAATCACAATGGTGATGACAATGATGACTGCAGAAGCGAGTGCTTAGGCAGAGTCGCCAAGCACCGGGTGGTGTTCTCTATGTATTAACTCATATAATCCACACTGCAGCTGTGAGGTAGGTGCTGTTATCATCCCCAGTTTACTGAGGAGAGCACAGGAAAGTAGCTTATCTGAGTCCCAGAACTAGTAAGTGGCAGAATGAGGATTTGAATCTTGGCTATCTGGCACCTGAATTATGCTCAGCGCACCTAATAAACACTTGGCCAAATGTTCTCTCTTATAATTAGTTGGGAATTTTGATTTGGAGGGGCTCTGGGTCTAGGAGGTGGGCTAGGGGAGATTGGGGGCCTGAGAGAAAGAGCTATGCTCTAGTTTTATACCCTCTGCCACCTTGATAAAAATCACTTTCTCTTTTCAAGTGTCAGCTTCTTCCCCTGTAAGAGGTGGACACTCACCTCCTCCCAATTTCCTGCCCTTCTAGAAGTGCTGGGAAATAGAAACCAGAAGGAAGGAAGAGCATCAAGAAGTTGGGAGAAGAGGCAGCCAAGCATCACGCAGGCTTGGAGACAAGGGACCAGAGGTTGCTGAGTTCTGTGCTGCTGCCCCAGACACACAGGTATGCACACACACACACACACACACACACACACATTCACATACTCATGGCATGCACATTCACACATGCACACACATTTACTCATGCACTCACACATACACATGCTTTTCTTGCACACATGAATATATACACTCAAGCACTTGCACATGTGTGCTCCCACATTCACATGTGGCATTTCCACTCTCCCACATAGGTGCACACTTACACTCACACCAATGTACACACGCTTATTCTCATTCTCTCAGTTGGTCCAGGGCTGAGCCAGGCCACCTAGCAAGAGCAGGGAGCACTGGGCTGCCTGCTTCAATGGAAGAAGGCTCCCCAGCAGTTCTCAGAGCAGCAGGGCACCTCTGACCCCACCCAGTATGGGGCTCCAGCTCCTAAGCCAGGAGAAGTGGACAAGGTTTGCAGGGAGCCATGGGAAGGATCACTTAGGTCTCTGGAACAGGGGTAGCTGTCAGTCCA